TGTTAATAAATATATGGATAAAATTGAAACAAAGTTAAAAATTTGATTATATTCAAAAGTTTATTAAAATATTCATTTTTGCAAAGAATTAATAAAGAATATGATTATAGTGTTTATAATAAATTATATAATATTTTTATTGTGAAATAAAAAGAAATATATAAAAAGCAATTAATAATTAATTTATTTATTATTTTTCTATAAAACATATTTAAAAAAATTCGAATTTATTTTATTATAAGATAAAAAAAAAAAAATTGTTAAAAATAATAAAAAACAAAAATATTTATAAATAAATATTAGGAAAAAAAATATTTTTATATATATGAAATAAATAAATATTTATAAAATTTTCATTTATCTAAGTAAATTTATTATAAAAGTAATCTAAAAAAAATAATTAAATATAACTTTTGAAAAATATATTTATTTATTTATTTATTTATTTATTTATTTATTTTTTTATTTATTTATTTATTTATTATAACTTTTTTTTTTTATTTATTTATTTCATTTTATTATAAATATATATTTTTTTGCTATTTAATTAATAAATACATATATTTGACTTTATTTTTTCAAAAATTATAAATCTTTAGTTTTATTGAATTTTATTATTTTAAATTAATTTTTATATATATATATATATTATTTTTTTTTTTTTATTATATATGTTTTTAAAAAATTGCGATTTTACAATTTTATTTTATATATTATTGTTTTTAAAATCTAATATAATTAAATATTGAAATATAGTGAAGCTTTAATGACAGATAAATTACTTAATAACCTTTAAAATTATGATATTTAGAATTAGGAAGCATATTAATAGAAGCTCCGTTAACTAGAGTGAAACACAAATAATAAGGAAATTCTACCAATATTATTAATATTATGATAGAATATTATACTTTTATTTATTAATTTTATTTAATTATGACTGAAAGCATTTAAATATAGCCTTAATCTTAATGTTTACTAAGATAATAGGTATTCTAGACTGAATTTCGGAAAACATTAGTAGATAGTGTTCATTAAAAAGGAGGCCTAATAGTAATCTAAATATGGAATTTTGGAAGATAAATAAGCCCATCTTAATTAGGGAGATAGAAAGTTGTAGCCCCGTTAGCTAAAGCGATAAATTGTTTAAACGGCTGAACTATGCGACTAAGAATCTCATGAAGTACTTCAGGAGTTAACTTATTAAGAAGTAAAAGAAGTAACTTAATAATTTAAAGGAGTAGCTATAAATGCAAAACTAACTGGCTTTGACGGAGTAAAATTAAATGATTTAAATAGACATTTAGTTGAACAATTTTAAGAGATGACTCTAATTTAAGAATTGATGACTATAGAATAAGTATTTAAAATAGATATATGCTTGCATTAGCAGTTATTTCTATTTTTAGAAGTAAAAGAGAAGCTAAGGATTTCACCTACAAGAATATTTGGAGGTAAATATAAAAGTAATCATTTAGAATTAATTATGTAAATATCTTTTAGACAAACTCGATAAATGAAACTTAACGTATATCTAATTAAAAAGGCATGGTAAATTAGATACGAATCCTACTATAAATATGCTGCTCATATATAAATACCTGATTTATTCAAAACCCTAAGATAATAAATGCTACAAAGGTAGTATTATCCTAATGATGACATTCTATGAAGTTGTTGAGTCAGTAGATAATAATATTGCTGAAGCTTTATCTTTTGGTCTATCATATTGCTAATATTGATTTTCTTAATAGAGTCCTTAAATAATATGAAATTAATTAAACTGTTGATTAGGTACTTGGCATTTTGGTAAATTAAAAGGATATGTTGTTTAAGATAATTTATTTATAAAATATTTATTTTATAAAAAAAAAATTTATTAATTGGTATATTTTATTAAGTTGAATTATACATTTTTTTTTTTTCATATTTAAGAAACTTATTCTAATATTTTTACTTTTCCGTGAAAATCACAATGACTTCCATGTGGATGATGTAACTAATCTTCTACTATATAATCTAAATGTCCACTATGATAAACTGGGAGATGACCACAATTAGTTCCATGGATATGCTTTTATTATTGAAATTTACAAATAGTAGATGAATCGTTTTATAAATCTTCAAATTTCATATTTTCTTGTAAAGAAAGATTATTTTCTTATAAAATAAGATTAATTTCTTTGGAAATATAATCTTATTAATTATTAATTTATAAATCTTCATTTTTATATTAATTAGAATTATTATTATTTTTTTCTATAGAAGGAAAATAAGAAAAATCTGCATTTATAAATTAATTTTAGCATTCATGAAAAATACTTTCTTTCTAACAAAAAATACTATCACAAAAATCTATTTATTAAATATTCTCAATATTATTTTTTAATACTTCTTCTTTTACACTATTTTATTTATGTGAATAATCATTTAAAGGTTAACAAACGCCTTTTTATATTTCCTTCTAAGCCTGAATATCATGGATTTCTATTTTTCCTGTTTCTTTGTTATAATGATATAAATAACCTTTGAATAATATGTCATGATGAAAATCATGTTATAGAGCTACATGTTATGCAGTAAAGAATTTGCTTAGCATTTCTAAATCTTTCAACTAACTCTTATAATTTATTTACTTTAAATTTTAATATTCAGAACTATTTTTTCGAATTTGTTCTAAAGAATTTTTTTCATTTTAATGTATATTATAATCTGTGCCTACTTCATGTTTTCTTTGCACGTGATTTTTTAATCTTGATTAATAAATATAGCCTTTTTTGCATTTTTATATTTAGCAATAGAATTTTTTATTTTATAACTTTAAATAATATTTTTATTAAATAATTTGAATGAAAAAAATTAAAATATATTATGTTTTAATATTAAAAAAAATTACTTAATATATATTTTAAAATTATTTTGTTTTTCTTTTATTTTCTCCTTTATTTAATTGTTTATTAATTCTTTTGATTTTTATTTTTTAGCTATTATTCTTAAAAAACAAAATAAAATATAAAAAATTAACTTATTTTTATTAAAATATAAATAAAGTATAAAATAAAATATAACATATAAACTACTTTTACTTTATTAACTGTACCAATATCATTTCTTATTTTTTTATTTTATAAATTAAGGCACTATAAATTTAATTAGCTATTGATTCTATTATTTATTATTATATTAATATATAGAACATATTATACATTTTAAAAAATTAAAATAAATACTAAGAATATTAATTTTATAAAGCATCTTAATCAATTTTTTTATCCTATTAACTATTATAATTTAAATATTCTTAAAATTAATAAATGTTAAATAAAGAGCTTTCTTAAAAGTCAATATTAAAAATTTTCTAATCCATTTTAGTTTATTATTTTTAATATAAATTTTAAATAAAATTGTGACTGATATATATAGATTTTAAATCTTATATTTAAAAAAAAAGTTTTTTAATTTAATTTATTTATCCTTTATTATGCTTTATATTTATTGATTTATTAAAAACTTTTTAAAACATATAAAAAAAATATATCACAGATTTATTAAATTATAAAAAACTATTATGATCTTTAACATATATATAATTTTGTAATTTTATTAAAGTAATTTCTTATTTAATATATTATTTTTATATATTTTTTTATATTTTTCTTTTATTTTTTAAAAAATTCAATTAAAAAAATGCGATTCAAAAAGGAAAATGAATAGCATATATTAGATTAAATTTAAAAAAATATACAATATAAATAAGCAATAAATATTTTTTTAAAAATATTAATATTATATATATTAAATCTAAGTATATTTTAAAATTATTTATTTAATTAATTAATTAAAATTTTTTTAAATATAATATACTAAATTTAATAAATATTTTAAAAATTAAATTTAAAAATACAAATATGTTAATGTTTTATTTTCATGTATTTACTTAATATGACTTAATTCAAATTATTCTATTTAATATAATTTTATTTATCTAAATATATAATATATTATATTAATTAAATATATTTTTGTACTCTAATTGTTAAAAAAATAAATAAAAATTAATAAATTTAGACAATAATATAACATTAAGTTTTTATTATCAAACCTATTATAAAAACCAAAATAAATATATTATTAAAGAACATAATAAGAAATTAATTTATCGCTTTCAAAAGTATTTAAAATTTTTAAAAAACTATATTCAATTTGCATGGATTTTTTAAATGAAGCTATTTCAATAAATTCAAATATAACTTCTGAAGTTTGTAGGTGAATTAAAAACTTAAATTCTGAAGTTATAGTATGAAATAAAAAAACTCATTAAAAATCTTATATTTACTTTAGTAATTTTTCAATTACCAATTTTTAGAATTATGTATGGTTAAAATATATATTTCAATGTCATATATTTTATATAAAACACATTTTTGAGAATATAAAATATTAATGCAAAGCTCAAATTAAAAAAAAAACTATAATAAAAAAAATATCTATATTTTTTTTTATAAAATCTTTTGCTTTTTATTCTAATTCCTATAGCTTCAAAATTTAAAGCTATTCTTCACTTTCAAGCTTGATAAACTATATTTGAATGTAATAATATGCTGCAGTTTAATAATTTTTCTCCATAAATTTAGTAATCAATATAATTATTAAATTGAGTAATTTATACTTTTATTTTTAGTTCTTTTAAGTAAACTTTATTTTATTGCTATCTTTTTTCAACATAAGTTTTAATTTATCCCCAGGCAAAAATTAATAGGGTTTAAGCTGGATACAATGGGAATACTTAATTCTAATTTCTGTAAAAACGCTATTCTTTTATTTAATCTGCTCTCATGAAGTATTGTCATGTTAAAAAATTCACTTATTTTAATCATAAATACAATTTGGAACATAGGGAACAAACTCTTTTAATAGTTGAATGTAATGCATGTGATTAATGTTTCATTAAAAGATATAAATCTTATTCTTTATTTCCTTTATATATTTTCTCGCATCATTAAAGCATAATCAGGATTTGCTTTTGGTTTTTAATAATAAGGTCCTTTTTTAAAAAAATATTTTTTTAAGTAGATATACATATTCAAAACAAAATTTTAATTAAATTGATCTTCTAAACTGCTTCTTCCAGTATTCCAGTCTTTTTATTTATTTTTGTTATTGAGAGAATTAGTATTTCTCTAGGAATTTTAAATTCACCCAGATTTTATTTTAGCTTAATTTTGAGTATTGAAATTACTGTTGCTCATTTTTATTTCAATTAATACATAAATAATTATTTATTTTAGTTCTAAAAATTTAATTTGAATATATATAAATTTTTAAATAAAATTGCAAAAAATAATTTTAAATTAAATTTTATATTAATTTATTTTATTTTTAAAGTTTTAGTTTTATTATGTTAAACAAATTAATATCATTATTTTATATTAAGTTTATTTTGCTTAATATTATATAAAAATAAAAAATAGATATTAATTTAAAGTAAATAAGTTAATTAAATTATCATAAAATAAATAATAGTAATGTAAAAATATATATATGCTTATCATAAATATTATATCAATACATCATTTTGCCATAAGCCAATAAAAAATTGTGAACTCCCTTAAAAAAAATAAGTTCCAATTCCATTAATCTAATCTTATTTGAAGTTTCCAATAAATATATCTCCGTTATATATAAAAAGTGATCCAATCCCTTATTTTTTCCTTCGAAAAAGCCCCCTTCATATTTATCCCAATAAAACTAAAAATTATGATGATTTATAAGTACTGATTATAAATCTTTTTCATTTTAAAAGTCTTAATTAAACAAAATGCCTTTTCCATTAAATAAATTGTTTTTCCAAAATCCTTTATAAACTACTTTTAATAAATTATTAGTATATAAAATACCAAATCCATCCATTTAATTATAGTTTTATTAATTTAATTTTAATGTATTACTAAATGTTTAATTTCTTTTGGCTTATTTTAAAAGAATATTATAATTATCATAAGATGCTGTTATGCTTTTTTTATTAATTATTTTTGGGGTGTCAGGGGGAGAATTTTATAATTTCAAGCTAATATTATTTATTTATTTATGTAATAAAGAATAAATTTAAGGATATGTTTAAGATTTTATTTTATTATTGCTTTATTTATAAAAAGTTTCCTTTTTTATATTTCTAGTAATTATTTTTATATTAAAGAACTTATTCTTTAAAATCTATTATATTTATTTAAAATCAGGTCTTTAGTAAGGTTAAAAAATAAGCATTTATTTGAAAATATTAACTATTTTTTATGAATAAAATCCATTTAATGTGCTAACATTAACCATTAATTCATCATAATTAACAGTAAAATTTTAAAAATTGAAAATATTATCTAATTTTTAAGCTAAACAAATTTCCAGAAGAACACAGGCAAGAACAAAAACATCATTTTTATGTAAATTTTCTAAAGAAATTGAAGAATAAGAATTCGAAGAATTTGAATTACAAAAGGAAAGCATTTCTGGAGAAATATAATTGCCTTTTATTAAAAAAGGGATTTTATTTTGAATTATTTATAAGGTAGATAAACAAGGAAATAAAATTTTTGGCTAAGAAATTTTAATGTAGTAAGAATCTTCGGAAATGAAAATATTCTAAGAATTCAAGCTTTAGTGTGCTTGGAATTATAATTGCATATTATACAAGCAATTTATTGTACTTTTTAGTAAATGAATAAGTTCTTTCTCTTATAAAAAAAAAGGTTTTTTTTCTTATAAAAAAACCAAATTGTGAAAACTTATCTACATATATTCACTTAATATTATTATTCTATATATCGAATTACATAAATTATGAGAAGAAAATACAAAATAATCAAATAAAATTATTTAGTTTGGATTTGGTAATTAATTAATTATTTCGTTTAATATTTATATTTTTTCTTAAAAATCTATTTCATTATTAAAGTATTCATCTGTTAATATTATTTACTTTGTTGGATTTGCTCTTTATATAAGCATATATTATATTTGGTTTGGCTTTGGGTTTCTCTTACAATTAAATTAATAAATATGAGATATTTAAGGTAATAAAGATTCTAATGAATCGAATATATTTAATTTTTGAAATATTTGAAAGTAACTTTATATAATTTAAAGCATATTTTTTTATTAATATTTTTTATAATTAGTTTATTATTTTTTTTATTTAATTTTCAATGTTTTTGAAAATATAAAAATATTTATTTATAATATTAAAAAAATTGTGTATTTTTCTTTTATATATACATAAAAATATTACTATATTTAATTATTTATTTTTAATTTTTATTTACCGAAAAAAAATGCTTCCTTCTGATTAATTTTATGAAAATCTAGAATATCGAAATTTAATATTGGAATTAGATAAAGGAAATAAAACTTTGGTGGAAGTAGTAAATAAAAAAACATTAAAAAAATACATACAAATATAAAAATAACAAACAACGAAAATGAATATTTAGAAAACCTGAAGTAATTTAAGAAAGAAAAAAATGGTATTTAAAAAAATGGTATTTAAAAAAATAATAATATAAAAAAGATTAAATCTAAAATCCAGTTTATAATTTATTATATATCCATAAATATTCATCAGAACTTTAAGTGACAAATACATTACAAAAATAATATAGACTATTATTTTTAGTCGACTATTTTGATATTACATTATATTTGCACATTTAAAAGCGTCATAAAGATAATAATCCATTCATTTTTAATGAATTATTAAGTTATTATACTAAAATAATCGAAAGCATATAATCAGCATAATAAATACTTAAATAATCATTGATTCCTTTAATAAATTTGAATACTTTCGTTCTTGATTTTTAAACAAATACTTTAAAATATATTCATATTGCTTAATTAGCTGCTTTCTTTGAAAAAAAAATAACAAAACTTTAAAATAAACCATTAAATAAGTAAATAGCAGAATTGTTTGTGCAAATAGCGACTTTAACTTCTGAAGATTTAGAAAGTGAAGAATAAGAATTAATATAAAAATAGCGAAGTTCAAAATTCAAAAAAGGGATTAGACAAATACAAATAAAGTATTCTCCATAATTAGGAAATCTAATAGCTAGTATAATAAATGATAATCCATCTTTAATAAAAATGAAAGAAGCTTTATAATGTTTACATGAAGAAAATAATGAAAAGTAATAACAAAATAATGCTAATGAGATTAAAAGTGTAAAATTTTAACCAAATGTAAATAACTAAAATATCTTGAAAAAAATAAATGTAATTGATTTAAACACAAGAGATGAAAAAAATAAACTTATTTCAATTGCTGATATTTAAAGTTTAATTTTGATAGACTTAAATGATACTAAGCATACTTATTTAGAGCATATTGAATTGGAAAATTATATTTATTCTGAAGGGGTGAAAACTGCTAATATTTTATACGAAAACGCCTTTCAGATTTTCTTTTTTGGTGGCAGAAATACACTTAACGTATTTAAATATACTAGATATGATAATTAAGTTATTTAATAAGCATCTATTCCAGGAAAAGAATCGAGGTTAATATAAACAAATAAATAATTATTATTAACTAAAAAATATAAAAAGATATGATTTTGGGATATGTACAATTTTTTATGATATTTATATTGTAGGAGGAATAGATGGAGATAATTTATTAAAAAATTGTTTAAAGTATGATTCAAGAAATAATACATGGAAATAAATTGCAGACATAAATTCACCTTTAAAAAAATGTTCAATATGTAACTTTAATAATGAAAGTATTTTTAGATTTGGAGGATTAGAAAAAAGTTCTAAAGGAGTCTTTATTTCAAACTAGAATATTGAAAAATATGATGTTGCTATGAATTAATGGAGTTTAATAAAATTCTATATTGACCCAAATATTAAAGATTTTGAAATTTTATCTAATAGTATTACTTCCTAAATTAATGAATTATAAATTATTATTTTGGGAGGATAAGGAGGTACTATAAATTCTTAGTAAGGAAAATAAGCTTTTTTCTTTAATACTATCCCTAATTATAATAATAGTTTTTATTATGAAATTAGTGATATAAATACATTCGCTGTTTTACCAGATTCTCAACCTGTTCTTAACACTTAAGCTTGTATTAATTAAAATGAATTATATTTTATACAATACAAATAAAAAATTAAATCAGCCAAACTTATTGTTTTTAAATTTCCTTAGGGTATTAAAGTTATTAGAAACGATTTAAATTGGTGATATATTTTTTTTTCTTTTTTAACAAAATATTATTAAATGCATTTTACGATTATATTCAAATATTAAATTTTTAAATTATAAAATGATATAAAATTCAGCATTTAAATAAATTATATTAGATTAATATATTTTATATAAATACTTTATTATAATAATTTTTGTAAATTAAAATAAAACTAAACAATTGTATATACAAACAAACAAAACACATTTATGAAGTAAACTTACATTTTCATATTTTTTTTTTAGGCTTTTTATAAAGATTAAGCATTTTAATAATAATATCCTACAACTTTTCTAAACCAAAAATAACGTTCTAATCCCTAAAATTTTCATCTTGATTATCATAGACATGGTTAAAATCAATAAATCTAAATTAGTAAATATCTTAAGCATTATCAATAATCGCTAAAATAGAGCAAGAAACAAATTATCTCGTGTTAAAATTTAAAAAAAAATGTTTTAACTTTTATACAAAACAAAGAAACTGTTATAACCCAAATAGATTAACATCTACATTTTAATTATATGAACTAAAAATTTTATAAATTACATTTTCAGTTTATTTATTATCTAATTTAGTATTTTTCTTAATAACTTCTAAAGGAATACCTCTTTAATTTCTAAGAATAGCTCCACTTATTCTAAAACCTAATTTATTTGAAGTAGACTTTAAGTCTTTACTTTCATTTTTTTTTTATTTTGTTAAACTACTCTCTTTACTTTTTGTTGATTTTCCAATTTTTAAGTCCATTATGTTATAAGAAACTTTATCAAAAGTTAAATTTTCCAAAATTAAATATTCCTTTTATCCAATCTTTTCAACCCCATAAAAAGTAGGAATTAATTCTTTTAAAAAATTGTTTTATTTTAAAAGTTTGCTTTCTTTATTATAAATTTCTTCGTAAAATTCCTTTTCATTTTAATTGGATTCCTTTAATATTTTATCATCTTTTATTATAAATCTTTATTCATGACCTGCACATATTGAACTTTGATTTTAATTTAAATTTTTTAAAATTAGTTTATCGAATTAATTTTCTTCTTCTTTTATGGAATTCCAATGTTTACTGAATTCTTTTAAACATTTCTCTACTGCATTAAATGCAATAATATTAGGCTTTATATTAGTTTTTAACTATTCGAATGAAACTTATCTTTCATTTTTTTCCAAAGGAAACTCTTCTCCTTTTAAAATTCTTAATACAGCTTCACTTGCCCAACTTATACTTTCTAAATTATATCCTCCTTCAAGACAAACAAGTAATTTTCCATTATTAATCTCCATTACTCTTTTTGTCAAATATCTTTTTATTAATAAAAATATTTAAATATTCATAAATTTTTATAATATAACGCATATCCTTCATATGTTAATTTACATCCACCTAAAGGATCACCTTAAGCAGAATCAAAACCTGAAGAAACAATAGTAAACTCAGGTTAGAATTCTTAAATAATGGGCATAATAATTCTTTCGAAAACATAAATATATTCATCAGTACCTGCAGTATAATTATTTTATCCTTCTTCAATGTCCCAAGGAATATTAATGCTAAAACCTTTTCCTAAACCTTCTCCAGAATTTTCTACATTACCAGAATTTGGATAAAAAGTGCCTATTTTTTTTTAAAAAAAAAAACATTAAAAAAATTAAATAAATTTTATTTGAATAAAACCGTTATCATGTCTATGAATAGATATAAATAATACAGAAGGATCTTAATTAAATATAAATTAAGTTCCATCTCCATGGTGAATATCCCAATCAATAATAAGTATTTTCTTAAGTTCATATATTTTTTATAAATATTTAGTACCAATGGCTACATTATTAAAAAAGCAAATCCACAACAAGTATTTTTTTCACCAGAATGATGTCCTGGTGGTCTTATTATACAAAATGCATTTTTCCATTTCCCACTTTAAATATTATCTAAAGCTTAAACCATTGCGCCGACTCCAATTTCAGCAATTTATTTGGTATATTCATTCGCATATGTATCTTCATACAAAACCTGTTTTTTTTTGCTATCTTTAGGATACATTTATTCAATAAATTTTATATAGTTTTCATCATGGACGTATCGTATTATTTCTTTTGAAGCAGGAGTTAACTTATCTATTACTTCTATATTTGGCGAATTTAAAAGATTTTGTTCCTTTAAATAACTTATTATTGAAGACAAACGTTCTGGTTTCTCAAAATGAAAGCGGGTTGATTTGTGTTTTAGCTATTCAAAATCATACAATATACCTGTTTCATTTGATATATTCAAATTATCTAATTATTCTAAGAGTGAATTCATTCAACTGCGTATTTTTTAATTTTATTAAAAATTAAAATTTATATTTTATAATTTTTTTTGTTTATCCTAATTTTTATTTTATTTTTTTGTACGAATTTTTTTATTATTATTTGTATATAAAACGATTAATTACATAACTAAGGTAAATTTAGTTATTTTAAAATAATTTATTTAATATTTATTATATAAAAAATAAATATTTTTATTTTAAATAATAATAATAGTAAAAATTAATTCAAATTAATATAATTCAAGTTTTTTGAAAAATCTATTTTATAATAAAATCTCAATAAGAATCATTAGAGAGAATTCTTTCCCGTAATTATTAATCAATTTACTATTCCTCTTTAAAATCGTAATAATATTCTAAATCATTATCATCAAATAAGGATATTTCTTAATTTAAATTTTATTTTTAAAATTAATATTCTTCTTAAATTTTAACAACAATTTTGCTATTTTATTAATTTTTTTTTTTTCTACAAATTACATATTAAAATTTATTTTCTTATTTCTCTTTTTAATTTATAATTAAAAGAATCATAATAAGAACTTTAACTCTTAAAATCTATAAAAAGAAATTATTCTATTAAAGAACATTATTTTTTTTCTAAAAAACATATAATAATATACCCCATAAAATAATACATAATCCAAAAATGCTATTAGTTCTTTCAAAACCTAAATATTCAGTTAAAATACTACTGATTGAAAATCCCATAATTTCTCCAATTAAATATATTATATTATAATACTCATAACTTTTTAAATATTATTATTATATATAATTTTAATTTTATTATATTACTTAAATCTTTAGTTATTTAGACTAACCAAACTTTAAGTAAAAATATATGTTGGAAAGTAAGCAATTAAGTTCGAAAAAGATAAAAGGATATAAGAGACACATGTAAATTAAAGATTTTTAGGAATAAAAGTGAATTTATCAGGTCCTAAGAAGCAAAAACATAATCCAGTAATTAAAATCCCCAAAATTAACAATACATTAAAATATTTTTAAGCAAATTTAGCAATATAAATTAAAAGCAAAAACATTAAAATTCCACTACTAAATAAAATTCCTATATAAAAATCTTAAATTTAAAAGTTTTGTTTAATAAAAATGCTAAAAGTTGCATCTAAGGATACTATTCCGCAATAAGGAAAAATAATAATAAGATATACAAAAAATAAATTCTTATTTTATAATAGTTAATTAGTATTTTAATCATTTTATTCAATCTAATTTATATCTTTTTATTTATTATTAGCAATATTTGTATTTTCTTTTACTTATTAAGAAAGTATGTATTCAAGCTTTTATTGGTTTGGTAAATAAATGTAAAAAAGGATTTTTAATAAAAAAATAAAAAACGCAAAAAATAAGCAAATATCATCCCATTTAATAAATTTTATTAAAATGCTTCCTATTAAAGGACCTAATATCAATCCTAAAACCGATATAAATTCTATTTTCGTAAAAATAATTTGAAAAGATATTTTATACAGAGTGTGAATGCATGAATAAGAAGAAAAGTTAAATAATGTTTATGCCTAAAATTAAGTTTAAAAAGTTAAAATAAGTAAAAAAATATATATATATTTATTTTATGTTTAAAAAAGTATTAATATGAATAAATAATTTTTTTTAAATTAACTATTCCTAATAATAATTTTGAGTTTGTACTTATAGCAAATATTAGGGCTTTATTTTCTATAAATTTCAAAGATGCAAATAATAAAAATGCAATAAAATTTAATAAATTTCCAATTAATATTGATTTCTTTTTATATTTATTATAACATATTTTTTCTCCAATTAAAATATAGCAAATCAAGTTTCCTATAGGATGAAAACTAAAAATCAACCCAATCATCCATTAAGCAATTCCTTTTTCAAATAAATATTAGGGAAAAAAAGGAGCTATAATAGAATTTGTTGCATTTAAAAAAAATTAGTTAATAAATAATATTATAAGTATTACATCCATAATAACTTTATTTTTATTATTATTAAAACAATAATCAAAAAAATAAAGAATGTATTTCAAATATAAAATTATTTTTATATCAAACAAAAAAAAATATAAACAAATATAAAATAAAAATATGTATTAATTAGTAAAAAATATAATTAAAAAAATATGTATTAATTTGTAAAAAAAAATTATAATTAAAAAATTATTTATTTATTTAATATGAAATTATTTTTATAATTTAAGTTGATTTATTTATTTTATTATAAACATAATATAAAGCAAAAAAAATTAATATTTGTTAAAAATAATAGTAAAAAAAATATTAAATTATAATTAAAATAAATTAAAATAATAAATAAATAGCATTAATAATTGAAAATACTAATTTATTTAAAAAATCTGAATTTTTTATTAGAAAAAATTAACTTTAAAAATTTCTTAGAATTGTAAATTATTGCAAACAAATAATCTAATTTAATTATAAAAATTTAGAAAGGTTTTTTAATTTTTTTATCAAATTAAATGTTTGACTAATTATATTAATTTAAATAATTGGAATTTTATTTAAAATTAAATTATTATAATAAATAAAAAAAGATTTATAAATTATTTAAAAATTAAAATATAATTATTATATACCTTTAATCAATATTAAAATGTATAAATAAGATGATAGTTAAAAAATTGAAAACTATTAAAATAAATAAAAAAATGCAGACGATATAGGAAATTGTATAACTGAGATTTTCGGAGAAAATGATAATGTAAAAAATGATTAAGAATGTTCAAATAATCGTTAAAGTTTTTAATTAAATTGATTTATAAAAATTAAAAAATGCAAAAATAAAGAATAATTTCTTAATAAAACTCAAATTATTTCGAATTTATTTTTTATGAATTAAATTTGCTTATATTTATTAGTTTTTTATATTTTAATTATTTTTAATTTAAAATTAAAGATGTTTCTTTTTCATCATAAAGTTATAAAAAAGAAGAAGAAGTTTATGATTCTATGAAATATTAAGATGAAAGCTAAAATTAAATTTAATATTTGAACTAAGATAATAATTTAAGTGAATTATATTCTTAAAAAGAGGATAATGCTAAAAATTATAAAAGTGAATATTAATAGAAAAAAAATATAAAATACTACAATTAAAAAAATATAAGATTAGATAAATCAGAAGAATATAACAGAAAAGATAATAATAAAAATATTAAGTATGAACTTTTTATATATAAAACAGAAATTTAAAATGCAATCAATGTTAAAAAAAATTTTAAATATTATTCGTTTTTTTTTTTAAAAAAAAATATTCGATTGAGAAAAGTAAATAAATAAAAATAGAAGACAAAATAGATAAAGAAGATCAAAAAGCAAATCAAGATCTCATAGTTATTCAAGACATAAAGACGATAAATGTTTTAGTAATGTAATAAATCTATAATAATTATTTCATAATATAATTTTAATTTTTATACTTAAATTTATTTCTTAAACTCAATTAAAGTGTTGTAATAAATGCAAAAGAAACGATAAAAGAGGAAAAACATGTATATGTATAATTCCAAAAAATTCAAGGAGAAGTTGTTTATAATAAACTGGATGTTAAACATGTGGATGTAAAGGTTGTTCAAAAGATGATTTGGTCAATAAAAAAAGTAAAAGTAGTGATTAAACAAATAAGTAAAAAGGTGTTCATATGAAAAACGGATGCTGTAAATAATGTTTGAAAGCTTTTTCTTAATCAGGAAGAGTAAAATTAAAATTAATATAAATATAAATATATTTTTTATATAATAATAAAGGCATGTATATGTTAAGTTCCTGAAAAAGTAAGAAAAATGAAATTGCCTAGAAATGGGTGTAAATTTTGTGGCTGTAATGGTTATAATTTTATTTTATTATATTTTGCTTAAATTAATTTTATAAACTAAATATTTATTTAGGATGTAATCCTGAAGACATAAAAAGTTATTTAAAAGAAACATAATATACAAGATATAATAGCTTATCTCATAATAAATAAAACTTAAGTTACTCAGAAAATAAAGAAATTATTAAAAGAAAATAAAACTTTGAGGACTATAATGAATTTAATAATCTTGATAAATCATGTTTTTATATTAAAAATATTTAAATTAATGCATTATTTTAGATTTAGGTAATATTATTTCTAATGAACTAAAAATATATGCACCCATGATTGGATTTGGAATTCCTTAAAGAACTTATTCGTATGTATATGGATAATAATAAGAAAAAAAGTGATAAATTAAATTTTTAACCATTTTATTATATTATTTATTCATATTTTTTTAAAAAATAAAATAAAATTTCAACAAACAAAAAAGATGAGAAAAATGATTAATGGCCTCTTATTTTTATTGAATTTATTAAAAAAAATATCATTAAATAATAAATATGTTTTTATGGATGTAAAAATATATAAATTAAATTTATGATATTAAAAATATAATATAAAATAGATTTTATATATTATTTAGAAATTTTCTTTATTTATTTTTTTTAAAGGCACAATATATCTATTTTTAAATCAAAGAAATATGCATAATAAAAATTAATAAGTTTAAAAATATTATTAATTTATTTTTATTAATAAT